CCCTAACTTCGTCCAGAGTGACATTTGTATCCGTGTAGAAAATGTTGAAGTATCGAAGACGTCTATCCAATGTGGGTATACTCCAAGCATAAGTGGGAAAATCTCTTTTTAAAAAATCTAACATCTCCTTTCGCTTCATGCCCTGCCTCACGTAGTTTCTCAAATCTTCCTGCAGGCGCACGTCTTCACACCAAGAACCATCTCTGGTCGCCATCTTGTTTTCTTGCCCGCCTCGTCCCCAGGCGCCCTCCTTACTACCAACTCATCGTGCAAAGCATCCTGGTATACTATGATAGCGCTAGGCTCATGCAAAATTTAATTTTACTTTTGTTTTTGTTTTCATTGCGTTTTTCTTTGCTTTTGGGTGCTGTTTTCATTTCACTTTCATTTCAGTTTGTTTTTATTTCATTTTATTTTCATTTAATTTTTGATTTTCAATTTAAGTATATTTTTATTTCATTTTATTTTTATGTTATTTTTGATTTCCAATTTAAGTTTACTTTTATTTCATTTTATTTAATTTGATTTTTGATTTTCAATGAATAAACGTTTGATTTAAGTATTACTTATCTTTTGTTTTACGTTTTCATTAAAATATCTGTTTATTTTGGAGGGTTTTTGCAAAATCTTTGGCAAATTTCGAGTGATAGCTATGGGCCACCATACACATGGAACCATGCTAACCGTGCGAAATTCAGTTACCTAGCACGTATCAAAACTTCGAACGCCAAAATCGATGTCACATTTTTAGCAGGTAAAGTCGAAAATTTGACCGGCACGGTGTGAAAACAATGACCATCTAAATATTTGTACTGCAAAGAGGTAGTTACAGGGCGCGGTATCTAACTTGGGAGTAGCCTGTGTAGCTGGCGGGATTAACAGGCGAGTGCTGTAGTGTTTTGGCGCGAGGCGGCTTCCCCGCCAAGAAAGTAACCCTGCGCACAACAATCCCGTCAGCTACGCAGGCTAACCTTCGGGAAATTCTTTTATCTGGTACTGAATTGCCTCCATGGTGAGGTCTGGGCCATTTCCTAGTTACGATGCCCTAAGCCTATGTTCATATCAATACTTAAACATGATTTTTAAACACAAGAGAGTTCTAGAAAATAATGTTTTTACATGAATATTTTATGAAGGAAAAATAAGGGAAATCACTGCGGAGAAAAGTTTGGATGGCGGATCGAAACGGCCTGAAAATTTTGCGAACTTTCTTCAAGAATTATTGAACATTTTATAAGCTTCATGAAACACTCGACACAGTAATTTATAAGATAACCAGGCAAGTGCGAAGTTGGCCTAAAACAGCGACTGGCAGCCTAGTTTTTTCAAGCCTTTTTCCCCTTCCTCTGTAATAACTAATGGAACACTGCGTCTCGGTATGTGAAATGAAAGCAAAGAAAATTAGACGAAATGAAGGGATCGAAATGAAACCCTACTTTTTAGGCCGATAAACAGCGCTCAAACTATTGTTTTGTAGTTTTGTTTTCGAAAACTGGACCACTGTAATCGTTGATTTTATATTGGCCACCTATTTTGCGGGCAAACATTTACTTACAAAAATATAAATGTAAATAAATAGATATCAGAATACTTGAGTACTTAAGAATCTTTCAGAAACTGAAAATTTTCAGGATTCAAGGTGATTAAAATACAAAGAGGTCATTCTCATCAGCTTCTCTCCAAATAATTGTTTGCCAACTTCGCACGCAATCTCAGTGACTCTTGCCATATCTTGAAGTGCTGTTGGAAACAGGGTGTGATGTATATTATCAACTACGAAGGCACACTTACTGATTGGGCTTAAACGTTACATTTCTGTTGAAACAGGATTTTGAAAGTTTTTGTGGTCATTCTACAAAGCCCTGAGTATTGACTAGCTCTTAGCAGTAAGTCTATAGGACAGATGAAAAGACAGCCAAATTCCTTCATTACAAGGATTTCAGAGCTGCAGTTTTGTCATTTCATTGATAGCATTGACAACAAAATAGTGCTTTGATTACGTCGATAGTAAAGACGAACAGCTACACTGTTTTTTGCAGGCAAAGCATCAAGTTCTTCAATAACTCAGATCACTCCTTCTGATCTGGGCATTTAAATGCTAGCTTACTAACTTAACTTTCCTAAAAGCTCGCCCAGCGACTGTCACTGCGTCACTGAGCTCAACAGCTCTGTAGCACAAAGCCATCGGAAAAATGTGGACAAAAGTTAAGCTTCAATTTCATAAAAGTTGACATCTCAAGTAGGCAATCCAGTCACTGAAAGTAGAAGCAGGTACTTTGCATTTTATGGGAAATCTTTCAGGAGGAAGCGGGTCGTCAAGAACAGTGCGGTGTCCTGCTTGTGCAACGGCCTGTACATAACGAGCGAGCTTTTTCATGCAAGACTTAAAGTGTTCACTTGGTTCACCATTTGGAATAAATCCACTGCAAAGCAATCTGTGTTCTTTGAAAATAAATTGGCCCAGAATCTTCTGAGCACGATCACAGAGGTCTTCACCCTCCTTCACTTCACCCAACTGCAACCAAAGCTCACTGAAATTAATCAACACTGCTGCTACCGATGTATGCTCTTTCCCTGAGATTTTTTCCCTGATACGCAATGCCTCTTCAAAGCATTCCTTTGCTTGCTCAAGTTGACCATTGTATTGGTAAGCAAGTGCAAGGTTATTATATGAATCGGCTATCACAGTATGATCATGAAAGAAAAGTTCCTTCCTCATTTCCAATGCCTTCTCGTGGTACTGAACTGCCTCCACGGTAAGGTCCATTTCGCTGTTCAAGATTCCAATGTTGTTCAAAGAATCTGCAACACATGGGTGTTTTTCACCATATATTTTTTTTCTAAGAGCATGTGACCGTTGGAAAGAGTCTTTTGCAGTTTCTAGATCACCCATCATACTGTGGATAGAACCAACATTAGAAAGTGAAGATGCAACTTCAGGATGCTCAAGACCATAGAGCTGTTTCCTCATGTCAAGGGATTGCTGAAAGTAATCTTTTGCTTTTTCCATACAGGAGTTGTCATTGCAGTAACGTGTAACTAATTTAGACGGCCGGAGACCGTATTGTATCTTCCTAAGCAAACAAATGAAGAAGAGTGTTCCCAATTTGTTCAGTGAGTCTGCAATTTCTGGCAGACTTGTGTTTGGTGGGTGTAGTGCCCTAAGAATTTCTAGAGCACGGGTGTAATACAGTTCAGCCATTTTAAACTGGTCAGTTTCCTGAAAAATCAGACCTAGGTTGTTTAATATAGTGGCAGTAAAACTGATTTTGTTATGATCTTCGCAATCATAGTCATCTTTAGCAATTTGTAAGGCATAATCGAAGTAATCCCTAGCCTCAAACAGGAAAGCATGTTTCCTACAAATGTCCCCAAAGTTGAAAAGAGTTCTTTGCAGTGCACCCTTTTCCCTGGTGTTTGCCAAGACTAGGTTCCAACGGCCTGTGAGCCAATCAGAGAGTGATTTCACATGAGGTGCCATCATTTTTGAGGTCATATGGAAGTTCAGGTCAAAATGAAATGGGTCATGTTGGACAGAGGTTGACAGTGTTTCAATGTAAAGTAGAATGAATCCTGCAATCTGCTCCTTGCTATACTTATCAAGAAGGTACCTCTTAAATACCTCACGAACAACTTGGTGCATCTTCACTTGTACATGTATGTCTAAACCGTCATCTGGCGAATGTCGCAGAAGTAGAGCGCATTTCACGATTTCACTAGTCGCAAAGTCTTCATCGCAATCTGGATCTTGCTTTGCAAGATAATGAACAATTAAATCAACATTTACCGGTGTTGAGGCACCCAAGGCGAGAAATGGAATCACATGTTCAAAAGTTGGCTCCTGAACCATTTTTTCCAATGCCAACGTGACAGAAGCAGTCATTGAAGATTGATATGACCTGTTTGTCTGTTCGTAAGCTCTCTCTGTAAGAGCTCGCTTTTCTAGTGTTTCCAATTTCTTCAGGTATTTTTTCCAAGTGTCGCTAGAGCTTGTCCTCTGGCTCACTCCAATGAACTGAATATAAACTGCAGCACAAGCAATGGCCAAAGGCTGATAGTCCAAAGCGTTAAGGACCAAGGACTCATCTTCACTATCACTTGAAAACCCGCAAATCTTTCGAAGTAGAATCCTGGCATCTTCAGACTGCATTCCCTTACTAAGAGAAACACTTGCACAAAGAGGATCAGCTTCTGGTATGTGAATACCGTCCTGGGTAGTTACAAGAACATGTCCACAACCTCCCCAATGTTCATTAGGCAAGTAATCTCTAATGCTGCTCAGTTTATTGACATTGTCATATACAAGTAACCAACTGCAATAGTTTTCCATTTTGGAGGAAACAAGAGTTTTAAGATGAGAGATCTTTTCATAGGGCAACAAAACTGAGTCCCCTCCTGTGATACTGTTAAGGGAATATTCGGTGACACCTACTTTGCGGGCAAACGTGTAGTAAGAATCTAGCACGGACTGTTCACTTTCAGCATTCAAGGTCATTACAAGCGCACAACTATCATGGTCATTCTTAGCGGCTTCTCTTGCAAAGAACTGTCTTCCAACTTGTCGAGCAACTTGACTTTTGCCACATCCTGGATTACCAGAGATATAAATTGTAACGATAGAATCAGCTTCATTGATCTTCTCGAGATCTCTGAATTTCTGCAAGATGTTTTCAACTTCCACTTTCCTTTCGACAACCGCATGAGAAGGCGCCTGTGGAAGAATCTCGAAAGATTTAGGTTTACCTTGTATCTCATCCTCCAAGACCGTAACCTGCTCTTGAAGCTTCTGAAGTTCCTCAGTAGGGAAACTTCTTTGGTTGATTATTCTCTGCAGCTCTACAGTCGTAAGATGAAGAGACGCGAGTGCATTTGACACTTTGGATACACATCTCTGAAACTCTGCTTCAGGAAAACAAGCTTTAGAACGATGTGCAAATACTTCATTACGGAACATTCGCAAATCGTCTACATCTTTAGCGATTGTGGGGCTTATTACAGACCCCAGGGTGTTAGAATAGAGAATTGCAAAGAAAAAACATGTACAATCCCATTCTTCTGTGTTTCCATTTTGAATGATAGACAAGAGTCTCGAATTTTTTGAACGACTCTTTTCTGATTCCATTCTAAAGAAATCCTGCCCATTTCTTGCAGTATCTTGCCATAAACCAAACCTGGGACTGTGGTGTCGGTCCCATTCGCTTTTAAACAGTTCTTTCAGACCTTCCCTGATGATGTGGGTGGTGATATAACAAACACGAAAATAATTGAGCTCCTCTTCGGTGTATTCTTTGTTGGCCATTCTTTAAATCCAAAGCCCAAGGACTGTTTCTAAAAAACAAAACAGGTTTAAATAATTAAAATTATTTCTCCACAAATGATCTTCACGTTGTCGTCAAGTAAATATAAATTTAGCAGCACGTTTTCAAGTTCGTGGAAATAAGTACGCTTTAGGCCTAAGGATGTCGAAATAAGTTTCGACGGATAGACTTCTAACTGGAATGATCTTAACATCAGCGGAGCATGCATCAGGGCTCAAAATAACTGCCCGTGAACGGAAAATGTCCGGTCAAGATAACCATTTGTCTGGACAAACCTTTTTGCCTTCGAAAGTAAGAGTTCCACGCAAGAAACAGATAATTTCATTCCTATTATACTACTTAAGTGACAAGAAAGAATATATAATAATATATAGGAAAAATATTATTCTGTTCTAGACCTGAGAGGTAACGACAATATTGTTTCATATGGTGAGAAATGACCACACTAGTCAGGCAATTACAACAAATGAATTATATGATTTATAATCATACATATGTTATGGTCCAATTTTATCCTTGGTTTTAAATTATTTTCCTTTGTTTCAAACTCATTATCATACTGATTATCATACCCAAAACAAAGGAAAATAAAAATTGAAACCAAGGATAAAATTGAACTCCAAATATGCATACAAATTTCAAAACTCGTAGCAACAATTTGTATGCTAAATTTGTATGCTAAATGTCTTCGCTAAAGCAGATAAAAAACCTTTTTTGGTGAGAAAAATATATGTCTTACAATATAACGTATCAACAGGACAACAATCGTTTTTCACTTTCACTGTTGAGCTTAAGTTATTTTTAATTTAACCTAAAATTACTAAGGTTGGGCAACATGACTGGAAACAGTCCCAAAATATTTTGCCCCCTGTTTATCACACAAAGCAATCTCAACAGTTGTGACCTACATAGTGAACAAAGTTATACCTTAGTGGTCATAGTGTGGAGGAAGGAAAAAAGCACTAAGAGATAGGGGGTCCTGACCCCACCAGCCCTCCCCCTGGATTACCACTAGTTCCAAGTACAGCACCTCTTACCCAAGGAAGCATTATTTTTCCATTTTGGGTACGCTTGAAAGTGACCAAGCCTTTATTTTCAAAACCCTAATTGCTAGTTCAGTCAAAAATCAAACCTGGAGCTTGTCACTCCGAAGGATGGTAACCAAGCAACTGAGCTAGTCAGCAGGGTTGAATTGATTGAATTGACTAATACGAGTGAATAACAAATACAAAGAATAACTGCCCTTGACCTAAGGTGATAAAATAGTAGTCCTGAAATTATTGTTTAATGGTAATGAAAGAAAAAATATGAAGAAAGAATATGTTGGCACTACTCTACAGGAAATCATCCAGATTCGAAAAAGCGTTGAGCGCTTAGTCATATATCAGGTATTTTTTCATCAAGGCCACCACGTTTTGCAACCACTAGGTTGTTTTGCTTTGCTCTTGAAGAATTTGCAAAGGATAGATAATTCATTATTTCAGTTGATTTCTTTGAATAATGTGAGGTCACTTGACAGTACCAGATAGAACTGTTTCGAACAGAACTTGTTTTGTCAAACACATATCAGCTACAGGGTTGACAGACTCCATCCACATATCTGCTCGATGCAATCAGACCAGAAATTAAGTACAGCAAAAAAAATTAAAACAAAGTAACTAGTCAAAAGCTTAGCATGTTTTTAACAAACTTATAACCAATATCTTTCATTTATCTGAAAAACTGAGTTAAATTTACTTTCACCTTACTTTAAGGATTTCAAAAACTTAACAATTGTTCGCCGGATCACTGCAGCTCATCGATCACTCACTCATCGGAGCTCATCACGCAGCTCATCGATCACTCACTCATCACTCACTCATTGATCACTCACTCAGCTCATCAGATCTCTCACTGCAGCTCATCCATCAGCACTGAACCTCATGGCTGCCAAAATTACCCAAGACCATCTGAAAACCTCTTCTTTCGTTAAAGTCTCTGTTATTACACTATTACCATCAAAAATTGTCATAAAAAATTTTAAAAAAAACAACAGTTATTTAAATTGTTAATATTACAATAATAAAATCATTATCAATAATAATATTATTAACATTAATATTAAATCATTATTAAAATTTAAGAATGGGCCCTTTTGAAATGATCGATAAGACTCAAACCATTTGCAAAGAAATTTTCATCACAAATCTGCTTTGTGCTTTTAAATTTAATGTTATAATGGCCAGTTTGGTTAGAATTTATCAGGCAAATCTTGAAGGCCAAAGTCAGGCTGATTGTTGTGTTTGATCATGTGCCTGTGGGCTGTGATGAAGTTATTTTCAATTAGCATTGTATAGTTTGTCCCACATAATTTTCCACCACTCTGTTTACATTAAGCCTTCCTACAGACTAACACACACTCATGTTTGACCTGAGCACGGGCAGACCACCCTCTGTTTGTGCGGCCATTGTTGTTGGTGAAATCTGAGCATCGGTCTTTGCAGTCAATAGAGACAATAGAACATTATGGTGGCTACAATTTACTCCATATACAAATACAGATTTGAACCTAAATGATCAAGCAAAGCTCAAGCTAAATGTTAACTTAGTCAACTGTGATGTTTCTTTGCCATCCCAAGCTGTTTACTGAGTTATTTTGATAGACGATTACTTGAATTTGAAGACTACATTTAATATTCTGAGGCTTTCATGGGTTTTAGTTTATTTGTGATTATGGGAGACGTGGGGTGGTGTTGATGTGGGAAGGGACAGACTGTCACCAGATTTTAAATCTCCGAGGGCTGGCATCTGGGACACTGAATTTTTAGCCTGCGAGCAAGCTCTCCTATTTGGGCGAGTGAAGCGAGTCTCGCGAGAACGCGCGAGCGAGCGGCCCCCTCGCTCGCGCGTTCTCGCGAGGCTCACTTCGCTTACCCAAATAGGAGAGCTTGCTCGCAGGCTACTGACTTTTTTATTTTACTTCATTCCAAACGAAAATGTTTGGCAATTTCAAGGTTTTTGATTCAGCATAGGATTTGCAGGCTAGTTCGAGATACGGTAAGCAAGAAAGTTCTGAAAAGCTTATTATCTGTTATTGCGACTTGCGTTCAAACGTTTGATTACGAACCGGTACCGGTACCTTGTTGGTTCACTGATTTGCCACGAGCTTTAGAATGATAAAGTCCCATAAGTGCTGTAGTGTTTAAAAACAAAAAAGTTAATCAGGTTCACCACGCGGTCAGACACGCGGTCTTTGTTTAAGGTTATATTATCCATGCAAAGGCGACGATGCATGTTAAAGCAAGTATTCCACTCAAACCTAGAGAATTCATGTAAGACTTATTTATGACTCACTTATGGACAAAGAAAGTATATTTAACTCACCGAGAATTTTATTCTTTGCTCGATATTCCTTCTTTAACGTAAGTAAAATCTCAAACGAGCAGTCTTCTTCTTCTTCCTCCAACGACTCTTTGTTTTTCGCTTTCGGTAAATTCGTCCCAGGCTGTTCAAAGTCGGCAAATCTCCGAAGGCAAAAGAAACGCATTGGCTGGTTACCACACCAGGGATTGATAAAAGCGCTTATGATTTACATAAGAATGAAAAAGTTTCTTGTTCGGCTCTAAGGTAAAACTACTTGAGCGATGATCAGTGTGGTGATCAGGTGATAGTAGGTCGAATATTGGCCAGTGCATCATCACCCACAATGCATTTCGATTGTCCCCATCCCCCGCCAAACAAATTTCGGCTATTTTCGGTTAGCCTCCCACGCAGGCGTTTTTAGGGGAGCTCGTATTTCTTCCCTCCCCGCAACTAGGGACGAAATACGACCTCCCCTAAAAACGCCCGCGTGGGAGGCTACATTAATACGGCTATAAACAGTTAACTTTTTTTTTTTTCCGCTAACGGATATTTTTAAAGTTAAAAATGCGGATTGCCGATCTAAAAACCGGCAAAATCACGATTGGACTCTAGTCCGAGATAAAAGCAAAGCGAAACTTTTAATGTAAGGCCGCAATCGGCAATCTCTCAATGTATGAGAACCGCTGAAATTGGGCCTGATCTCAGGTTATTTTACTGCTAACGGTAACCCTCATTCAGATCCTCTGATTTCTCCCTGGTGTAACGGACTTAACGAGAGAAACTAAAAACAAAGCTTGTGCAGTTTTCATTCTTTTATTTTTTCTTTCTTTCTTTTGGGCTAGTGGAGGGGCGGGGGGGAAGGGTTGACGGCAGGAAGACAAGCAAGGTGTATTATGGGAGATCTGCCGACAGGGAATAACGTATCATGCACAGGAAAGCGCGCTAAAAGTGTTTGAATTAGAACCCAGCTAAAAATAAGCACTTCGTTAGGCTCAAGATACAAAATAATCCATAAACACCCTAGCCTGCGTCGTACACATAATTCAACCAGAGTTTAGTTTCGTCTGTGGTGCAGGTTATAAGCGTCTTAAGCCCACATTTCGTCCCTTACTGACGCTATCGGAAAACTATGTGTACCTCTCGAAAATTCCTGGCACGTTCATATCGCTGAACAGACGATATAAGTACATACAGCTCTTCAGAGAACACAACATTTACACCTCATTGCGGCAATTATACCTTCAACATTTATAAGGATAATACGAGTATCCTCTCTTGGGGTCAATGTATCATGAAGGCAAGAGAATAACTAGATTAGTCACTAGTTTGGACGGATTACTTGAGAGTGGCCCATATGGGGACATCACATTGACACGGCCCATGGGTTACTTCCCTATGACGGGGGGACTCTTCGTACATTTTAGGGGCCAGTGATTGTGGATAAGTATCGGCATAGGCGCGTTTACCTGTCACTGTTCCGAAAAAAGAAGCCCGCACTCTTCCTCCCCTCTTCGGGGAGGTGGGGGGAATCAAAGACCGACCAGGGAAACTGCAGAAATCGAGTATATAATGGAGATGAGTCAAGGGATTTGGCCTTTCCACCAGCAAAACGTACTCCCGCACTAAGAATTCGGGTCGA